AGCTGACGTCTGTCATACGGCGAGGTTGGCTCCCTGGGCACAGTGCCGCGTGCTCCTGGCTAACTGCCGTCAGACCAGACCCCACTGTGCGCACCCTGACCTGCCACCTCCATTCTTCACATACCAGAGTGGACTGATGTCTCCGGGGGGGAAGACAGCTAAAGGCCTGCTGCTCACAGCCCTTCTGCTGACCACAACCCCCCCCGCCCCGCCCCCAGTGTCAGGGAGCGCCTTCCGGAGCAGCCGGGCTGTCCTACAGTAGCTGTTAAGGGTTCAGATTCTGGGGGCAGACGCCCTGGTTATACATCTGGGCTCCCCACTTACTGTCTGTGTGTCTTTGTGAATTTGGGTAAGTCTTTTAACCCCCCTGAGCCTCAGCTGCCTCTTGGGCTGCGGATTCCCCGAGAGAACCTGTGTGATGCTGGGAACAAGGCCTGGCGCGTGGCCAGTCACGCAGCAGCCGCGTGTTGCCCCTGAAAGACTGACTCCCTGGTGCTCCGGAGGCAGGCTCGGTCCAGCGGGGTGGGCCGACGCTGGCGCTCAGCGCCCCGTCCCAACCCCTCCTCCGGGCCCAGAGACGAGGAGGGCAGTGAATCACAAAGGACACCTCAGCTGCAGTTTGACCTCCTGGACTTGCAGTCCCAGCAGCAGCATGTGGCAGGCCCAGAGTGCGTCAACCTCCTCGCTGGTCTACGCACGGAGCCTGTGCTGAGTGAGCGTGCCTGAGAGCGGCTGCAGGTCGTGCACAGGCACACATAAGCATGCGTGTAGATGAGCGGTCTGCGGACACACGGCTCAGGCTTGGAGCAAAGGGCTGGCACAGCCTGGCGCCTGCACCCACAGACATGGGTGGCCGTGCTGCCTCCTGGCGTGTGGTGGGTGGCACGCCATTAATGGTGCATGTATTGCCCACTGCGGGCATATTTCTTTGGCTGTGAATGGCTTAGTGCTGGGGGCGGGTTTAGAGGGTGCAAGTGCTGATGGATAGCACAGAGTCTGCCTCTGCGGGCCTCGGGTTCTCTTCGGCCCTGGCCCCATGAGTCTGGGGATGGCCACCTTGGTGGGCACAAGGGCCTGTGTGATGTTGGGCGAGTCTCATTCCTCTCTGAGCTCAGTCTCCTTGATGTACAACAGACAGACCTAAAGGCTTGTAAGGTGACCAGGCTGATAGTCTAGCATCACCGATAGCCACCCTCCTGTCCACCCACTGGGGTCAAACCAGGGGTCAGCCCTGAGAGAAGAGCCAGGAGGAGACCCCCCCAGGCCCAGTGAGGGGCAGGCCCAGCCAGGAACAGGCTAGTCACATGGACGTGTGTCCCCACAGATGCTCCACGTTGACCTTATCTCAGGGAGAACTGAGGGGGTCATCTCCCTTTGTAATAGGAAGGATCTGGGGAGAGACGAGGAGGGACTTCCGGTGTGGAGAGGCGGTGAGCCAGGGCCTCTGCTGGCAGGCGGAATCAAGGCTGCCAGGCCAGCCTAGTGGCAGGAATAGGATCACGGGGGCTCCTGGACACAAGTGGAAGCAGAGAGAGTCAGCCCAACACTCCTCCCTGGCCCCCACCACACACACACCACACACACACACAC